CATTAACGGTTGAATGAGTCGTGATGTAGGATATCAGTCTGGATTATGTATCGGTGTCGGCGCGAGTGCGATGTGCTCGTAGGGGACGCTCCTCGTACGTATACGTCGGGCGTAGAGCGAGACTACGGCGTAGTGCGGGGAAGGCGCTTCGATCAAGAATACACATTGCGTATAGATATTTGAAGGATTTGGCAAATGCCAGCGATATGTAGATGATAAAACATGTTAATTGTAGTGCAGCTGACGCCTGCCTCAGCCAAAGTGATTTCGTTAAGTAATTATAATATAAAATAGCTTAGCTTTTGTTATATGTTATATATTATTAGGGTTTAAGAAATAAGAAAATAATAATAATTTATTATTATGAACAAGGCAGAATGTGGCACGCGTAGGATAAGTTATTTGTACATTTTATTAAAGAAATATTAATAACGAATGTATGGTAATTCCAAGCCGTTTGCTCGGTTTGTATGAGACTGTATGAGAGGCAGGTCCAGGGTATTTTTGATCGAAGACGCTACTCAACTAATCTAAATATTACTTCTAGTCTATGGCTACGTGAAATATAATTCATACACAGGTAAATACATACATACTACGCGCCACCAATACATCGAGCATGCAAACGCCATGCTATTTACTTAAATGTGTCGAAAAAAAAAAAGTTTGATTTTGATGTAAACTAGAAAAATTATACAAATAGTTATTTGATGAAATCAATAATTAATAAAGTACTTAAAAGAATTAAATAATTTTGAAAGTATTTTTTTGTGTTGTACGTTGCGTTCAGTTGCTACAGAGAGCTGTCTCTGTGACATTTGTTACGGACGAGGTATGTACGAGTATGTATGAGATCAGACAGACAGCGCGGCGACGTCCAACAACTACTAATACTGAAGGTGGAATAAAATAATTATTAGTACTAAATAAATACTGACACGTTTATATTCTTACTGCTATAATACGAGTAATTACACTCTAGTGTATACTTGTTGCATATGATGAGACTATAAGGCAAGCATTGTACAGATCCTGACCCGCGAACTCGACTCCTGTAGTTATGAACTACTACTATACATTTGAGCCGGTGCCGGGGCTGAGAGTCACAATGTAATAGAGACGTAAACTTTCAAGACTAGTTCTATTTGACTAGATTTAAAGTAAATCTCACTACGTAAGGCACAATTTGTAAGGTCACAGAGGCGAAAGAATTTTTTTTTTTACATTCCAATAAAATCTTACATATAACAAAGCATGTTACGTTTTGTTTTTGTTTAACTATAAGTAAAATTTTAGTGGACAAGCGATACGTTCTTGCACATCACAACAAGAAATGTTAAATACAAGCATGCGTTACGTACTGACAAACAGTTATATCGATACAAAGA